GCAGCTGCAGCTGGTACAACTACCACCACCACAGTCGCAGGAGCTGACGCAAAGGCTGGTGCTGCCGTGAAGGCGGATTCGAAAGCGAAGGCTGGAGCCCAAGGCGCACCTCCAGCCGGGCCTTCTCTGACCTCGGCGGAGAAAAAGGAGTGCGAAGCTCAAGCTAAAAAGAACGCAGAGGCGGTAATGAAGGCCATCAAGGGCATTCATCCTGACGAGAAGGAGAAGAAGTATCAAGAGAAATACGAACATGCTTTGAAAATTGCGATCGAGAAGAAGAAGAAACAAAAACTTCGTTCTGCTCCTGCTGGTGCAGCAGGTGCACACGCGGGCCTCCGCGTGCACCGCCGCCTCCGCCAAAACCTGCTGGAGAAAAGCCAGTGTCGAATATACCTCCTGGTCTGGCGACCATTCCCGGTGCGTCGCAGGTCATTCCGCACAACGGCTTCCGCGTTCCCCACGGCGCTGCAGATCTGGTCAAGTTAAGGATCGATGTTTGTGCTTCACTGACAAATAATTCTGATTTTTTCATTTTCATTTATTTAAGAATCAATTATGTTTGTGAGTAGTAGTAGAGTAACAGAGCTTGTTCTTTGTTATGTTAAGGGGGCACACGTCGACGCACTCGCACAGGGATCCTCTTTGATGACCTTGACAACATCCTTTATTTTTCAGCAGGGGTCGTAAACGTAAACGTAAAAAGCAAAAATGTCCAACATCAACATCACTCACATGAGTACTTACTTAGATTTAGAAGCTTCCTGTTTCTTGGTCTCCCTACTAAAGACATGTTGGACTCATCGTCATCTTCTTTCACATACTCTTTTACTTTTTCTCCGTCCTCTAATTTCTGGTGCCGCTTCGAAAGCTACTATGCCTTCTGCCGCTTGGTACCCGATTGGTCCGGTGCCTGTGGAGGGTACGACGAGGATGATCGAAACTTTGAAGGATGGTAACAAGGTGCACTACGACGCCTTCGAAGTCAACGACTATCCGGAATTTGCCTGACGTGAAATGTCTCGAAAGGAACTCCGAGAAACCATCGAGGATTTGACGACTTGCCATATTCAAGTCAAAGTTAAGTGCTGAACAATGCTGAAGTTGAAGTTGTTCTAGTTGTTGTTGATGATGATCTCAGACAACTCCTATCCTATCCTATCTCAGACAGAGTTGCAGTAAAACTAATAGTAGTGGTACTAGAAGGAGTAGGACAATTACTCAAGCTCATGATCAAAATGGTCAGACGTAGAAAGGGAAACAAATGGACTCTTGTTTTAGCTGGAGATAAAAAGGGAACCCGGAGAGGACTTGGGCATTCCCTTCCCCTTTCTCCTTTCCGTGCATCCCCCTCTTCTAACCCTTGCCGATACTTCCAGCCGAACGAACCGAATCCCGGAAACGAGAGGAAATTGTATGTCGAAATGCGCGGTCCGACTTTGGCTGCTGTGGCTGCTGCCAAGAAGCACGTCCGAGACACAATGGAAAACAACGCGATTCGCACTTTGAATTTGGGCTCGTTCCAATCCCAAATGGGAGGCTCTGGCAAGCGATGGGATCCGAGAACTGCTACTTTTATCAGCTAAAGAGGAAGAAGACGAACTTGTTGAGGTTGATCTTCTTGTCCTTGAGGTTGATCTTCTTGTCCTTGAGGATGAGGAGCTACAGCTACTTTTATCTTCAGCTAAAGATTTCTTGGCAAAAACACAACACGAAAGAGCAGGAGCACCATGGTTGTTGTAGAAGACCACATCAACATGTTTGATTGTAGCTGGTGAGAAGCTGATGAAGAAGAAGAAGATACTGGTGCTCATCTCTACTTTTTGCAGAAAACGACCACAGACACGATGAAGATATCTGATAAGGATACTGAAGTCTTCATGATCTGCTTTTATTGGAGTTTCTTCGCCGGGTGTTGTTGTCACTAGTATTAGCTAGACGACCAGTCATTCAGACCACGCCTCGAAGATCATACTGTACCTACAACTATTTCTGCATACTCCTGAAACTTCATCTTTTCCACCTGATAATGATTGATTGAAAATGATATATGATGACCACAGCTGATGTAATACTAACAGCATTTACATCCTCTGTGTATTATAATGTAAATGCTGTTGATATCACACTGATGAAGTAAAAAGGTACTAGTCGACTTTATCAGAAGATTAAGTCAACTGTTCCTATGTATGTGATATGTTTTCATCAACAGAACAAGTAGAGTAGTAGATCTTCTAACTGTGCTGATCATGGTATACCCACGTGCTCGACCCTGCTCATTATACCTCCTTCCCGCCCTCCCCTAGTGTCTTGACTTTCTTCATCAAAAACTAGAGGAATTGAGATGTGAAGCTCTGTGACATCAACAGGAGTAGAGCCCTTCACTTGAAGTCTGTTTCAATTCAAAAAAAGTACACGTTTTCCAGAAAACTGATTTTTTCAGAGCGCCCGTTCGTTAATTCTTGTTCGTGTTGTTGCCACCTGCTCACGACCTGGTGATGCCACACAAATAAATCAGCCTGGCCACTAGAGAGCAGAGGTCCGCCTAAGTAAGGAAGAAGATGAAGAGCCACCTTAGAAAGTACTAACTGGGACACCATGTTGATGATGAAGTAGAACAAATGCTGTTACCTGTAAGGGACCTCTAGGATCTTTGTGTGCAGCAGCTGCTTGGTCATCTTCTTAGCTCAAGGCCAAAGGTCAGAGATCTCGTCTAAGCTAAGAGTTTTAACAAGAGCACGACCTGTGCTTGTGTCTTTCCTTGATCTTACCATTTTTTTATGTTTCCTTCGATCGTTAGAAATTACTTATACGAAATAAAGAGAGAAGAAGCAAGTAGTTGGAAGTCCAAGGCCTCCAAGTGAAAGACGCAGTCAAAAAACAGGAAGAGCTGGGACATCTTCCTGTTTGAGGAACTTCTTTTCAAGAGTCTTAAAAACAAGTGAAAGTCGTGGTAATTCCATTTCCAATCATAATATTAGTAGACTGGCCCTTCTACCACGTTTTTGTGTTTTTTCACCTGTTTTTTCCGTTTTACGTTCTCGGTTACTACTTACATCAATGAATTACTAATACTACTTCCACTACTACTCTGTGACGGCTCAGGTAAGAATATTAAACTTCATACATCCGAATGCGAATGCGAAACTACAGGTAAATAATACTAGTGGTCTCTCCTCTCATTGCCTCAATTTCACATCGCTCTGGTGCCTATAACCATTCTGGCACTCATCTCACGCTTAATAACTCGTTATAATTAGACTCAGTCACGACACTAACCTTACATTCATTACTTTCAAAAGGTCTCCAACCATGGGCATCATCTGCTGCGTTGTGATTGTAGGCCTCACGGTGCTGGGCCTTGGTGCGATTGCTGGCATCACAGTGGGAATTGTGATGGCATGTCGTACCACGACTGCCTCTTCCTCCTCGTCCGCTCTACAACACGTAAGAAGAGGTGAACGCACGACCGCCGCTTCCAGTGCGGATGATGTTGATCATGTTGGACGTAATAATATTCCGATGCTCTTTCGTGGTGCCGGCGCCACAAGACCGTCGAGTACAATCATGCCGACTATAATTATGAGCGGCACGACCTCTATGGGGCAAGTGTTGCCGATGATGCAGGAACAAGGCGCTGTTGACGGAGCTGACTTACGCAGTCAACTGATGACAATTTTTGAAGAAGTGGAGAATCAGCCTCTCAACCTTCGCATTGCTTCACTCCTGTCTGACACTTCTGCTGGAGGACGCCGAACAAGGTACCCGGTTCCGGACACGATGGTAAAATCATGGGTGAAGAGAGTATGTTGACAGGAAAAAGTGTACTCATTATACTCAAGACGAAAAGAGGCCGCTGCAGTTTCCTACTTAGGAAGTACCTATTTTCTTGAGGATCGATGAGTAGTACACTTGTTTTTCCTTTCATAGAAAGTGTCTACGGTTTCTCTTGACGTTCTTAACCAAGCAGTGCGAGAAGATGGTGGGAACCTCGATTTTGTCGCAATCATCCGTAAAAATTGCGTCGTGATGCGTGATCTGCTTATTGATGTTGAAAACCTTCTAAAGCAGGGCTACTCCGACGTAGCACTACAGAAGGCGGGACAAGACTTTCTCACTCAATTTTTCCAAGAATTGCAAAGAGAAGGCTACTCTCTCTCTCGCGTGGGCAACATTCCCGCTGTTCTTCATAGGGGTCGGCCCATCCGTTTCCGAGTTGGAGGATTGACAGCGGAGTCTGTGAAACAACTTCGAACGGACATTCGCGCGGCGCTTCAATGAGCGGAACTATTTCCTAGTCTACCATGGATATTTTCCGACCATATGGATATGACGTAGTCCTAAAAAAAGCAAATTTCGAGGTATGTATTGATGTACAACTACTTCTAGGAGAACACTACTACAATTATAAGGGTACTAGGTTTTTGGCGTTTCTGTTACCGTTTGTTTTGACTCGTCTAAGGGAAAAGAGCATAACAAACGGGTGACGGTGACAAAAACACTATCAAGGCCCTACCTTGAATACAACAGGATAACAATACAGGAGAACATCACGACTGACTACAGAGGAGAAATGACTCCGAAGAGAGAGTACTAACCCTGGTTAGAGGTGGTATTTGTTGAACAGGCGGACCGAGAAGCTTTTGAAGTTGTTGTTGATCTTGTAGTGCAACGCACTAATTAAGTTATATGTCGCTCAGCGTCAAAAGATACCTCCAGAACAGGCAAATGAATGAATGAATGAATAACGGGGGTAGTTGCACCACAGAAGTCTTTGGCTACTATCAGAAGTGACAAGGCTACTGAGCACAAGCCTGTTGTTTGCGGCACAGATCTGATTTAGGAACAAGGGGAACAATTGATCATATTAAGACTATTAAAAGATTAATGTAAGTAGTAGGCCTTTGCCTTTCATCTCCACCTAAATTGATTTTTCATAGTTTTCTTTTTCGTGGTTTTTAATGTCCTCTACCTAGCTCGAAGTAATTTTTAAATGTTCTTTCTCTTTGCACGCGTCTAGACAGTATTAGGACACAAAAAGCGCTTGTTTGTCTACAACGTCGGCTGCCGTCGTGGTGCTCAAATAGAAGGTAATCGTCTGCGTAATTTTTAGCGTCTGGCCGTTGTGCGTCCTCAGGCTTCTCGACGTAGGGGCGAAAAAAGCGAGAATGTACTAGTACTAGGCAACAAAAAAACCTTCTGAAAAAAGGACATGGATGAATTTCGTTGAAAGAGAATATATATTAAATTAATATTGTAGAATTGATAATCCGTCTCCACCACAGGACTTTGGACGTGGAGCACTTATTAGTAGAAGTAGATCTTCGCGTGTAGTTTTTGTATTTAATCTACTAGCAGGATGGCGATATTTATTATATAAAAGTACCTTGACTGATTGTTTTGTAGAAGATCGTTGGAGATCATTGAGTTGTACTATCTGGAACAAGACGAGGATCTTCTATCGTGTGAAATAGTACTAGAAAAACGCAGAAATTGTTCTAAGACGCGGATCTGTTATAATGCTTTTTCAATGAACAACGAGCATCGATCAGCATGCTTTTGCAGGTGTAATGTGCACGCTTGCCGGGAGGATTAATGACATTGTGAGCATAAGTATACAGCGGCTGTCTAGCATTGGTGTATGCCTACGTTGCAAAGCTGTGCTAAAGACGTACACGAGATCTTCGAAAAAGAGCGCTACATAAGACGCGCCTTCACGCACCAATGGAAAGAATGTTGGAACGATCCATACTCCTGCAGGACGATGTTGGCGCTTTTCGTCTGTCAGCAACTTGCGTCTCCTGAAGATCACTGAATAAAACGATCCACCCCGCCACTGAAAATAGACCAAAGTACAAGTATGGCAATTATACAAGAATACAGCCCTCCCTCATATCGCT